GAGAGAGAGAGAGAGAGAGAGAGAGATACCATCGTCGCTGAAATCGTCGACGAGAATAATCTCGTGAAGAAGTCGATCGTCGGTTCGCTGTATAACCGAATAGACGGTACGGATCAGTGTCTGAAAGTGTTCGTTGAAGAAGCAAATGATGACCGAAGCTGTGGGCAAATCACTTATGGGAACAAATGGTTGATTCTTATCGCACAACGCGTTCCTCGTGTCCGGTATTCGTCTCTTAAAGCCGATCCGATTACTGATCAACACATTGAACGCGTGCTTCTTATAGCCGATGTCTTTTAACTTCTTCTCCTCTTTGGTATTAATGATACCCAAACTCACGAGTCGTTTGGCGTCCGGCGACTGATCCGCAGCCATACGAATGGCGTTATTATACCATTTAGTGTCCTCTTTCTGGCGGATCAGTTCGTCGTCGTCGGCGTTATCGTTGATCAGATTGGACTCAATTGGTCTCTTCGGCGACTCATTCTTCCTCCGAAGCCACGGACCGTTCGACTCGTCATTATTGACCACATTCTTGAGCTTCGAGTTAAGCCGTGAGATGAGGCGGTGTCTGATCGGCGGTCTGTTCCCAACAAACAGGTCCCGCAGCGGCGGCAACGACTTCTTGGGCTCAAAGTCGCCGCTCCTCACGAGATAAAAGTAGATAATCAGTAGCCATACCACGGATGTGATGACAATACCGCAGAAGAATGACTTCATTCGTATCATATCGACGACTGCGGCGGTGATTATCATCGGCTGATGAATCGGTTGGACACAAATATATCACATATTTTTCAATACAAAAGTAAAAAACTCTTCAAAACATTGGATGTGTTTTAGCGTCGAAATACTGTCCATAAAAACCACTGTTTGTCTCACGCATTGTCTCAATACAAACCATACGTTTAATTACAGGTTTTATTACATAATAATAATAATTAAAAGTATATTTAAAACACAATTAAAACTTAAATTATAAGGAAATCTGAGAGACAATGGGTTTATGAGAGACAATACAAATGAAACGATTGTTTTGTTTTGATTCACACATTCATTGAGTGCTTGTATTGTGTGTCAAACGTATGGCACGTGTTGTCTATTGAATGCATTGAATGACACATTAATTACGAGTTTTTACTGTTATTTACTGTCATTTGATTTGTTTACAAATTTGTTCGCATTTTTCACATTTAAGTTAAGTTTTAATTATTAATAAATTGTATGAAATTATGGTTAAAATGAATGCAAAGAAAAAGTCATTAAATATTAGTATAAATGATATTTTGGATGAATTAATGGCTGAAAACAAATTTGTAAACAAATCAAATGACAGTAAATAATCATAAAAACTCGTAATTAATGTGTCTGAAAACACATTTAATTAAAATTCACTCAAAATATGAAACACTTATCGATTGTGAAGACAAACAACACTTCAGACTATTGTCGCTACGATTGGATCAATTGAGTGACAAACAAACGGATCAAACAAATGAATCCCAAGAAGTGAGACAAACTCGAGGCCAGAAGAAGAGACAAATATCTCGAGAAGTAGTGAAACGAGAAGACAATGATTTAACGGATAAAGTGGTGACTAATGAAGACTCGGATGAGAGGAAGACATCGACGACAGACACAGACCTCAAGAGTATTAAAGACAAGACATGTTATGAACGGCTGAACCGAAAGCCAAACCGAGTCTTCAAAGTAAAGGCAATTCATTGCGATTACAAAGACTGTGACTATAAGTGCCGATCGGACGCCAATCTGGCCTCACATATGAAATCACACGACAATCAGAAGACCGAAGCCTATAGACAGCAACGGCTATCACTTCACCGCCGGTGCTATGATTTGGTCACCAATTCATACATCTGTGACGATATCGACTGCGGGAAGTCATTCAAGAATTATCGTCGACTGAGAGGACACATCATTAGCGCCCACTCGAGCCGTGATATCCGCTGTGATTACACCGATTGTCACAAACTGTTCAAAACCAGAGACACAATGAAAGCGCACTTTAAATACGTTCACAATAACGACAAACCTTTTAAGTGTCCGCACAATGACTGCGACCGAGGATTTGCAAGTAATGGCCATTTGGATCAACACGTGGCCAGTCATTCATCTGAACGCCTGTTTGTATGCGATTTCAATGGGTGTGCGAAGAGTTTTAAGACACAACAGCTTCTTTGGGTTCACAAACGGATCCATAGCGCAGAACCGGTCATTAGATGCCGAGTCGATGGCTGTGCGCAACGATTTCGTACACAGAATGGGCTGCAAAAGCATCGGGTAATCGACCATCACTTCAAACCCAAAGTGCCATATAAACGGCCGATCGGTAGGCAATACCCGTGTCAATGGCCCGGATGTGACTTCACCGCAGCTCTCAATCATTCACTAAAACTACATCAACGCCGACACACCGGCGACCGGCCGTTGGTTTGCGATTGGCCTGAATGTGGCAAACGGTTCGCCCGACCGACCAGTTTGCGCGACCACAAGAATATACACAACAATCTTAAGCCGCACGCCTGTCATTGGCCCGGATGTCAGTACCGGTGCGCCAGTAGTGCTAATATAAGTAAACATTGTAAACAAGTTCATCAAAAGTGATTTCATTTATTGATTATTGAATTTTTTTAATGATTTTTATGTTTAATTTAGATGTGAATAAATTTTATTTATTTTATTGACTATTTTTACTATCAATTCATTTATTTATTATGATTTGAATTCAATGTTATAATCATTTGATAATAATTTCTATAATCACTGCATGTCTTATAGACGACTTCAAAATCCACATTAGATTTGAGTGTTTTGTTTAAGACTTGTCTTTTGAATATGTGTTGAAAACAATATCAACGGATAATATTTGTCCACAACTGGAATCACTTCAAGTATTGATTACAATAAAATACTGTGAAATTTACAATAGTTTTAATGAGTTTTAAAAATTAATTTAATTTAACAATAGATTCAAGAATTTTGAAAATATTTGATTAGAAACTGAATTTAAGTTAAAATAAATTCTTTTTTATCATTAATTAATAATTATATAAAAGTAAATAAAATTCAATTAACAATAGTTTTAGAAATTAATAAAATTTCAAAATATACTTAAAATTTATCAAATATTTTGTATCATTTGTTGTCAATAAAAACTTAAAACGCATTGCAATCGTCTCTTCACTCAGACATCACTCAAACACATCCAATGGCCACACAATGGCGAGAGAGGGGACCGACACTTACCCGCGAACCCATGGGCTGAGGGACCAGAGGCTCCAATCGCTACCCAAACCCATGGCTCAAAGGGATAACAGGTGTCGACCCCTACCAGTGGTCCAAACAGTGGACTCCAGTGTTGGCACTCAAGTGTCGGCTCAAGCATAGGGTGTGGACCACAAGCAGAGCACAGAGCGATCGGTGCGAACGCGCCTCCAGTCTGGGCCCCAATTGGGGGCACATTTAGAGCCAGTGGTCGACACAACCCATCACTTGCCTGACGGCCATCGGCTCATACCAGGGGTCGGCGAAGACGGCGGTCGAGAGTGAAGCTCAACGCGTCCCACACGGGAAGACTCACGACATTCAAACACTTCTGCCGTCGGGAGTGAAGCGATACGCGTCTCCAAAGATGACTCCCGACAGTCAAACACTAGTGGCGACCGAATGGATGTCCGCCTCAACGGGTCGGCGAAAAGTCGACTGACGGTCGGGAGTGAAGCTAAACGCGTCCCACAGGGGAAGACTCCCGACATTCAGACACTAGTCTCGTGGGGAGTGAAGCGATACGCGTCCCGAAGGATGACTCCCGACATGACTGGACTGTAGGCGACCGTCGGTCGAGCGCTCAGTGTTTGTGGCGTTCAATCGCTGCCACAGTTGTGGTCGACTCGAGTGCTGTCACTCACGACAGGCTCTGCACCCGAGACCACAG